GGGATGTGACTTGCAGTAAATAGCTGTACTTTAGGGACCAAATTGTGTACAGACGTTGTAAAACCTGAGAAAATCTCCCACTGGGGAAATCCTCAAAGGTTAAAATGGTTTATTAATAAAGTTATTTTTTAAAATTCTAAATATATAATAAGTTCGTTTTTAGAAGCAGGATGTTGGTTGGGGTTAGTCTGAAGTAAGTACGATCAGCTTTATATAGGCTAAAAACTCTGGTTATGGTATGTCCACATTTAGATAGCTAAACATTTGTGTCTTCAGACTTTTACTAGAAATATCCACATATGAACTGACGTTTCTGTGATATTATGTTTTCATAGTTCTGATATGTCCTTTAAGTGACATTTGTGGCTATAGTCCGCATCTAGCGTGAAAAGCTCTATGTATAAGTATATCAGTACTTTTGTCTTGTTTAGAATAAAAAAAAATACAAAAATAAAAAGATCTAAACATATTTAAAACTAAATGAATTTATTCAATAAGCAAATTGCATTAAAAAAAATTTTTTTTAAGTATTTGTTTTGACATTGTTTTGAGTATAATTTAATATGGCAGAATAAATTTATTTTATTTTGGTCTAGTGGCAGATTTTTTCACATTTTTCAAATGCAAGCTCAATTTCATGACTTCATATGAAAGTTTTACTTCATAACAAAGCGCATTGCTCATAAGTATCGTTGCATTCTCAGAATTGCCACAAGGGGAGCCATAGTAGCGCAAGTTGTCTTCTTCTGTGGTCGGTTTTAATTTTTTGGTCAATTCATGGGTTGAGGGTTTTGCTGATTAGCATGGCTGTTAGCCCCTGCTGGAAGATGTAATAGCTGCAGCATCTGGGTCCAGCATCTTTCCGTACGGAGCCTCGCACATGATATGCAAGGGGAAAAAATATTGAGAAAAAGAAATAATAAAACATTGCCATGATTAAATTAAAACAATGGAATGAAATCACAATTAATGTCCGATTATTACATATTAAGTAGTAGTTAATCACATTAACACAGTATGTAATTGCCGTACACTTTACTCCCATATATATGCGATTCATTCAGTCAGCAGATTTCTCCACAATGTACTTTCTCCAAAATGCTGCTGTAATGATCATGTCATCTGAGGACTATACTTAACTAGTTTTGCTTTATTTGATGTTTGATTCATTAAGGGTTTGATTCATTGCTCTTACATGATACTGCAGGGTTTCTTTGCGCATTTATGTACATACACAATCGAAAACGGCGCTGATATATATACTGTATATACATTGTGTCCAAGAGCATAATCTACGGAAGTCCACATGTCAGACTAACAGGAAACTATGCTTCTAAACACAGGTTGAGAGCTGTATAATCCTTGAACTTTGTTGGTAATGACTGAACTATTGTTGGCTATTGATGCTTTTGAGAAACTCTCTCCTGAGCAAGTTACTCAAACTAGTGAGCTGCTTGAATAATAACACATAAAGATTAAAGACACACACATTTGAAGGGAAATCTATCACCCCCTTGAGGTCTGTTACCAATAGAGTGCAACTCTCAGGTTCAGGGAGTAAAAATGCCATTCAGTTTTTCCATAGGGAAATTGATTTTTAAAGATAACTTATAAACCTTTAAAGACAGATCTGCTGTGAGCTCCAAGGTTGTTTATCGATGGTATATGCATTTGTTGAAGCCATCAGTTCTCATTATTTCAACTTAGGTTTTAAATAATCGCATTTAACAGTTGAATCCTTTGTGAACCAATCAGACGAGCCAAACAAGCGCTGAGCTCCAGCCATTCCCATGAAGCACTGCAAATGATATATGATATATATGCATATTTTTCAATAAAATTAAAATATATGTATTCTATATATACACAATCAACAACTTTAAATGGATATTTCTCCATAATTTTTAATTCAATTAAGTCATTCACAATGGTTCATGGGATTGTAGTTCTCATTAAAGACAGTTTGTACGAACAGTTTGTACTGTTTTGATTCTCCTTGTAGCTGGTTGGCTTGGTTCAGGGCTTATAGCACTTTAACAAAGACATTTTAAAAATCTAATACACTCTATTCAAAATCAGACATTAGTATGTACTAAACCTAAACCTCATTAAATTATTAGTGCATCTTGTTTTAAGCAGTGCTTAGTGTTATTTATTGAACAAAGATAGTGATTAAGGATAAGATTTGTGCGGTTTTGAGGTGAAATTCAGAAAACCATGTCTCATTGCTCACTCAATCACAAACACACCGTGAGCTCCGAGGCTAACCCATCTCGGGTGTTGTTGACATAGCCAGACCCCCTCCAGCAGTAGCTGTGCCACTGACCTCATACCGCTGAGGGGAGGGAGACAAGTGATGAGGTTGTTGTGTAGCAGCTTCACCCCTGATCCCTCGCCAGCGTCTCTCTCCTCCACCAGTCACTCGCCAAGGACGTGGAAATCCTATAATAACCTGTCTCCACGGCACCCCACCAGCCCAGCTCCCTACTTCCCAGATGTTTCCAATTAAAAAGGAGGCCTTTCAGTCCGAGCCTATTTTCTGCATGCTGAGAGAAAGAGTGAGAGAGAGACAGAGAGCAGGTTGCAGAGAGATAGAAAGGCTGAAGGGAGGAAAAAATTACTTTCTTTTAATACAAAAAGGCCGTTGAGGGCAGAGAGTGACATTTAAAAAAAGTCACAGTGGCTGGACGCTTGTTTTGATCGCGGATATCTGAGGAACGGAAGATGAGAAGATGAATGGTATCACTCATATCTGAGTCAGACAAAGATTTTCAGATTAAAATCACGCCTGTGGTCACAAAATCTGGGTCTGTATTTTTTCAGTTGGTGTGGTGGCAGCCGCCGACAGGCTGTGTTTGCCACTCAAAACCTCAATGTTGCTACAAAAGAGATGGCCAGAAAGTAAAGAGAGGGAGGATTTTAAATGAATAGTTCACCCAAAAATGAAAATTGTGCCTTTATTTACTCTGCCTCACACACAAGTGTTCCACACACAAAGCTATTGTCTGGATTCAGAAGACTTGGAATATAGTACACAAGCCATACCTTTTGGTACTATTATATCGGACCAACCCAGTAATTTCTATTGTATGGAAAAGAGCAGCTTGGGCATTTTGCTAAATATCTTATTTTGTGCTACATTAAAAATTAATTAATGAATTGATGAATGAATGAAAGTACACCACCATTCAAACATTTGGGATTAGTAATATATATATATATATATTTTTTTAAAGATGCATTAGTTTGATTAAAAATATAATAAAAACAGCAATATTGTGAAATATTATTACAGTTTAAAATAATTATTTTCTAAATGCCATAAAATGCCTTTTATTCCTGTGATGGTGAAGAATTTATTACTTATTTGAAATGTGTTTATAACTTTACTTTATTTCACTTTAGATCAATGTAATGTATCCTTGCTGAACAAAGTATAAATAAATAAATAAATAAATAAATTCTTACTGACCCCAAACTTTTGCATTTGCAAAACTTTTGGTTTTGTGCATTAATAATTCATAATTTCAGGGGTTTTTGGGTGAGCTATCCATTTAACAACCATTTTTACAAAACCATTCAATAACTTTTGTATTGTTAACTTATTTGTCAGTAAAGTCTCGCTCCTCTCAGTTCTCTTTACTGTAATGCAGAATCTCATTCTCTGTACAGTTAATTAATAATTAATTAATTGTAATACAGTAAGAAATTAAAAAAATATATTTTAAAGTACTGGGCACATTATAGTAATAAGAATATGGAAGAAAAATTAGCTTAACTGTTTTTAATACGTCACAATGCAAATAAATAAAAAGTTATTTCTTTCTAACATGGACATATTTTTTGTGAGATTCAACTTAGTTTAAATGCATATGAATAGTTTTTCATATTCTTGCAAAGACAATCCACTTTATGCATTATGAAGTAAGTTAATGGGCCATGTTTTATCCTTTGCTTTCCATGAAAATGTATTTGAGAGCCATAACATGTAATAGGTTGTATGGGGAATAGCTTGTTTGGAGTTAGTGATTTTGCCTATTTTCCTATGATTCGGTCAGTGCTGATGTGGTATGGTGGCCTAGAGCATTCTTCAAAGTAGTATTGCCAGCCATGTGAAGCTGTGCCAGTGCGGTTTAGCTTTCAACTTCTGCGAGATCAATGCATCTACAAATGTGGGTCATCAGCAAGGCTGCAGAGAAGCTGCCTGCAGAATTACACAAAAAGTTCTGCAGGATTTACATTCCTCAGTCAATGTATGCACCTCTTACACCCCATTGTGTATTTGTTTACTAAATATATTGTCTAATTTGATTATGCTTTTTTCTATCAATACATCTGACGGATGTGCATTGGAATTACATTGATTTCCCCCAACAAACAGAGCCGGAAAATTGAAAAGAGCTGCATAGATACCATGTGAGCTGTCCTGAGAACAGTCACAGCAGGATAACAATGATTCGTTGACTGTCTGATGTTCTCAGTTGGCCCGCATGCAATCCACAGTCACAGAATTCAAAAGCTTGATAACATCATCAACATGAAAACCTGAGTCACCAGCAATACCGATAAATCTCGTCGTCATTGACAAACTTGTAGACATGCACCACGCCTTCTATGTTCGTTTCTCTGCTTTGGCTGATTATAATTTCATTTTCCCTCAGAATTCCCTCTTTTTACCATACTAAATCAATCCTAAATAATTTCACCCCACAATCAGTGCAGAACATGCAAAAACAGTCCACAGTTCCGGCAAGCGCCTTGTCATCATGCACCGACTTCAAATGACCCTGAACAATTTTAACAAAGAGAGTGTTTTACTGCTGCTGACCTATCATTAATAGGAGTGTAATTGAGTTTTCTCTAAGGTTGTGGCTTAAACATTAGTACACAATCTAAAATGCATTAAAAGCTTGTTAATGTGTTTTTTTCACGTGTCGATAAAGCAGCCTTTGTTCTCACATGGCCTCAAGCTCACAATCTCAGTGTGTTTTCTTTGGCAGCTTGGGCGCTGGTGGATCTGAGGATGGAGGACACTGTAGAGGTTTACATGGACAAGTCTGCAGAAATCCCCTGCCTGTATACCTTCACCGAGCAGCCCATGATGGTCATAGTCCAGTGGTTTGTGGTGAGTCCTGAAATCTCTCAGGCTCTTTCACACTTTTTGATTTAAAGGGATAGTTCACCTTCAAATTCCTTTTATTTCTTTTCCAAACCGATACAATCTCCGTTCATCTTCGAAACACAATTGAAGATATTTTTAAAGAAACCTAGAAACCTTATGTCCATGCATTAAAAAGTCCACGCAGCCAAAATTTTGACACTTCAAAATGTTCGCAAAGGCACTGTAAAATAATACATATGAGTCAAGCAGTTTAATACAAGTGCTCTAAAGAGACACATTTGTATGGAAGTTTGTTTCCACTACTAAATAAATTTTGACTTTTTATCTCACAATTCTGACTTTTTTTCTTGCAATTTCTCAGAATTGCATGTTTATATCGCACAGTTCTGACTTTATAACACATTTGCAAGTTATAAAGTCAAAATTGTGAGATATAAACTCACAATTGTAAGAAAATAGTCAGTCTTTTTTCCCCTCAGAATTGGACTTTATAACTTGCGATTGCAAATTTATATCTCACATTTCTGAAAAACGAGTAAAAAAGCCAGAATTGCGAGATATAAACTCACAATTGCGAGAAAAAAAGTAAAAATTGCAAGATTTAAACTCACAAATGCGAGAAAAGAAGTCAGAATTGCGAGTTTATGTCTCGCAATTCTGACTTTATTTCTCACAATTGCAAATTTACGAGGATGAATAAATTATGACAGAATTTCCATTTTTGGGTCAACTAAAGGCCCGTTCACACCAAGCACGATAACTATAAAGATAACGATAAAGATATAGTTCTAAAAATCGTTCTCAATATTAAAGAATAGCATAGTTCACACCACAACTATAACGATAACGATACAGAGGAACGATATCGTTGTGATCACTTTCAAAACTATTTTTTTCCAGCTGATGAACGATAAAACACTGACAGCCAATCAGAATCCATCCTGCTGTAACAAGCTCAAGAATTTAAAGCAGCAGACGCATGTGCTCTTAGAATAAACAGACGATATCGTTCGCTGGTGTGGACACTAATATCTTTATAGTTATCGTTCTTGGTGTGAACGGGCCTTTAGACTTTAATGTTTCTGGATATGTAGATATGCGGATATGTGTGCTCAGGCTTCACCTGGCTGACGTAAAAATGATTAAAATGTCCCTTGGACTTACATTTGAATGAGGGACTCGAGTCATATCTACAGACCATTTACCAAGTTTTACTTCCCATCATCCTCAGCGGGAACGTGAAGGTCATCGGGTCCGAATCTCATTCAGCGATCTGACCATGCAGAAGGTGGATGAGAACACGACCTACAGCGATCGTATCAGTGTGCGATCCAGCAGTGATGGAGAAACTCTGACCATTCAGGATGTTAAGCTGTCTGATGAAAGAGAGTTTTTCTGTCAGGTCAGTGGATTGTCAGCAGGCAGTGAAGAGGGCAAGACTGTCTTGAAGGTTTTTGGTAAGTCTCTTCTCGCTAAACGGCTTGTTGCTTCTTTTCCTTCATTTATATGTAAATGTGAACTTGCTGTTTTCAGACCCCCCAGAGCCTCCCGTCATTGAAGGTGTCCTCTCTGGAGTTTCTGTGTCCGGTGAATCCCCAGCTAAGGTACATCACGCTCTCAGATTCTCTCTGTGTGCATATATAATGTTTGTGTCAGTTATTTATGGTGGGTTTAAGCTGACACATTTTTTTTATTTGGTTAGATTGCATCTTGTGAGACCAGAGAAGGCTTTCCCAAGCCGAACATCACATGGTACCGTGATCACATCCCCATCCACCCCACTAGTGGCTGTGAGTAAAAAACACACAGATTTATTATCTATGTATTTTTGTCTATATATTATTATCATTGATTTATCTTTATAATTCAGTATAATATAATTTTAAGTTATTTTATGTCATATTAATAATTTTATTTTATATGAATTAATTTGTATACAACCGTCCTAAAGTTTGGGGTCAGCAGGTTTTCTCTTATATTCTTGAGAGGTGTGTAATGCTAACAAAGGCTGATTTATTTAATCAAAAAGAAAAGGAAGACTCTAATATTGCAAAATATTTTTACAATTGAATTTACTAACCATTTTTATATATTTTAAAATTTAATTTATTCCTGTAGTGGCAAAGCTGAATTGTCAGCAGCCGTTACTCCAGTCTTCAGTGTCACATGATCCTTCAGAAATTATTCTAATATGCTGATTTACTTCTAAAGAAACATTTCTTCTTACTAAAAATGTTGAAAACAGTTGTGCTGCTTAATATTTTTGTGGAAACCATAATACCTCTTTAAGGATATATATAAAAAGAACACAATTTATTTGAAATATAAATCTTTTGAAACAATGTAAAAGTCTTTGCTGTCACTTGGTCAGTTTAAATCATTCATCAGTTTCTGACCCCAAACATTTTTTGTAACAGTATGTAAGTATATAAATATTCATTACCCCTGCTGGAAAATCTAGAAAAACCAAACCTAAAGTAAACATCAAATCAAAACTGACCTTATTTACTTTCTTAATACAAATTCCTTGTCATATTGTGCATGACTCATCAGTGCACATTATACAAAGAAAAACGGATTTATGTGTGTCATTTTACATTAAAGTACAATAACTTGCTTCAGATCTGAGACTAGAGATGTACATATGTTAAAATTCTAATAAGCCAAAAATTATTTTTTTATGTTGTGGTCATTAACTGATAAGTGGCGATAAATAAATAGCAAATTTGGTGCAAATTTTGGTTCTTGTCCAACCTAAAAGCTGAAATTAATTGTTTTAAATGCCACAAAAGAATATAGGCATCACAATATTATAATGTACAGAGATTTGATATTTGAAATTTGCTAAAGATTACATTTAACCTTGTAATTTTAAGTGAGTGTTAGATGACAATCAAGGTAATCTATATGTAAAATATGGTAAATGAGCATGCACAATTAATTATCTAATATCTTAATAGCTTATATTGATTAATTAGAAAAATCGTTATTATTCACAATTCACTAATGGCCAATTAAGAAAATCCCATTCTGAGTTGCAGACACATTTGATGTTGACTTGAGAGCAGTAGCTGGTTATTAGGTCATTAGCTGGTCCAGGCTGTATTCGATGTTTGGTCAGCTGGACTGCCATTTGGTGGAATCTGTATCAGCCTGGTAGACCATCTTGGTCAAGCTGTTTTGAGCTGGTAGGCCACACTAGACAAGCAACAGTGTTCCAAAAACCAGCTAGACTCCTTAAGATGGTATGCCCTGTTTTTTTCCAGCAGGGTTTATATGAAGAATTAAGATCTGTTTCCTCTTAAAGGTTGCCACTAATGTGTGTGTGTGTGTGTGTGTGTGTGTGTGAAAAATTTAATATGAAAAAAAAAAAACCTTTGGTTGGTCTTGGGTTATACATGTCTAGGACGGTCTGGGAATGAAAAAGTTTGGGAACCCGTGCTTTAGTGTAAGAAAACATGATTGTGGCAGTTCCTGCTCAATAAATCATTAAAAAAAAATCTAAATAATAAAATTATGTTTAATGATTTTGTCATAGAACACTTGTGGTTCTGTGATTATTGACCTTAGCATTTTCCTTTTTGCTTAAGTATTGTTACTTCATCTTTTTCATTTGGCTTTTTATGGTTTTGTCTGATTGTTCTATCTATATGCTGAAGTAAAGACTTGTCTTTTGATGCAAAATCCGTGTCCAGTGTGGTATCTTCACTTCATGGGCTCCATCCAGTTCTTGTCATCAGTAGTGAGTGGAGAGTGAGACTCTCTGCACAAAGACTCAAGGCTGATTTTGACGCTGGGGAACTTCCTTGAAGCCCAAGCAGTTTCTGGCAGAGAACAAGAAAAATATATAATATTAATAATGTTGCAGACCCCGGCTCAGACCCAGCTGACCAGTTTACTGTAAAACCAGATGAAGTGAGAAGAATGGGAGAGTTGCATCTGGTCTTTTACAGCTCCTCTGCTGATATATTTTTACAATAAGTAAGTCCATTTCAATTACAAACAATTGATTTTAAAGCATTATTTCTGTCTTCCGTCTGTCACATTAGTGTCATCAACATCTAAATAAATAAACTTTTTTTTAAAGGGGTCACCGGATGCCTATTTTCCACAAGTTGATATGATTCTTTAGGGTCTTAATGAAAAGTCTATAACATACTTTGGCTAAAATTTCTCAATGGTAATGTAAAACAACACACTTTTTACCCTGTCAAAAACAATTTTTTTCACAGCAACTCGTTTTGTTGCATGTCTCTTTAAATGCATTAAATGCCGCATTTAGCCGCGGAACTTGATAACTAGCATGCAAGGAATGGCGATTTGCAAAGATTCATAAAAAACCGTATACTCATTTCTTCTGTAGGTGAGGCTGTGATAAAACGCCAGTGTCAATCAACAATCATGGGAGCAGCCTGGGTCTGTGTGACATCACATAGCCAAGAATCAGAGAAGGGCTTGATTTGAGAAAGGGGTCAAGATTTATGTGAATTATAAAAAAAAAAAATGTTTTATCATTATAGGGTGGATGTGTACACACACTGCTAACACACATTTATGTTCAAACAACATGTAAAAGTGAATTTTGCATCTGATGACCCCTTTAAATAAATCCTCTTTTCTTAATTTGACTTTCTTTAGTTAACATTTGAATACTCAACAGACATTTTAATTATGTCTGCACAATTAATATTAATATTAGCACTATTAATATTCATAAACACAGTGGGCCTCATTTACGAAACAAACATACAACAGAAAATTGGGTGTACGGTCGTTTCTGTGCAAAACTTGGAATTGACCGACAACCGAAGCTCATTGGTTGATCGTTAACCAGTAAGATTATAATGTTTTTTTGTTGTTGTTGTTGTTGTTTTTTGCTTTCAGGGCTTTATATGCCCTAATTGTGTGTGTGTGTGTGTGTTTCATGCCAGTGGCGAACATGGTAACTCTACTGACGAGGGAATCCAGTGGTCTATATACAGTGCAAAGTGAGTTGCATTATAAGGTGACCAAGGAAGACAAAGACGCCCACTTTTCCTGTGAAGTTAGCTATTTTGTCCCAGGAGCTGTCAGGACATCCGAGTCCAAAGGCATCAATATTACAGTTCACTGTAAGTCCATTTATGAATGAGAGTTTTTGATGAAGTGGAATGTGATATATTCAAACTCTTGCAGCTGTGACTAGCTAAATAACACTGCTTGAATGCATGGATTTTTGTTGTCTGTTGCATTGTGCTGGGTGCTGGTCTAAAATCCCACTTCACATACCTGCATATACATCATATTTGATCTCACTGGCTATGATTCTATCTTTTCACATAGTATTTTCACTTTAATTGTGGAAAAAACGAAATTATTTGAAGCTGATAGTAACACTTTTTTGCGAAGATAAGGTTATAAGAGCACATTAGATCTGACAGATCTGCCATGGTTTTGCAGAAAAGGACTTGTATTTTCTTGTTTCATGTTTTTTATATTTCAGATAGCTTTAGAATATCACAGACAGCACTGAGTAGATTACTTACAAATTGTAGCCCCTTACTGATTAAAGATTACATGATAAAAATTGTAATTAGTAATCTATTAGATTACACATGTTAAGTAATCTAATCAGACTACTTTTTTATTATTTTGTACCACACTGATATAAAAATAGAACGGTGACACACCTACAAGGTCTTTGCTTTGTCAGCACTGACTAAATAACTGAATATGACAATTATGTTGCCTTAGCAAGATACATTTGAATGAAATAAGATTCATGGCCCCTTGCTCTTTGTGTATGTGCATGTCATATAGACCCCACGACCAGTGTGGAGATATGGAAAGAATCGCCCGAGGGCTTGGTCAAAGAGGGGAACACAGTGGAGCTCCGTTGTCAAGGCGATGGGAACCCCCCAGCACCCATAATTTTCAACCGAGAACAAGTGAGAATAGCCTCTTTTTCCTCATTTATTTGGACACGTTTTTTTTCTGAATGGGAGGCTGTAAACCATTGAGAAGAAGCAGACATAGTAGACGTCTGGCCCAGACAATGTGCTTGATATGCTCAGGATGAACAGTATCATTACTGATTTGCAGCTTTAAGTGTGTGTTTAATACGCATTTGTTTTAATGACAATATGACAAAATGACAACAGTGGTTCTCAAATGTTTCAGATGGCAGAATTAAAGCAAAAATCAGAGAAGTACCAATGATCTCAAAACAACTACCTGCAGTTTTCAATAGCGCAAAAAAAATAAAATTTAGTCTATTCCAATCTATGCCAAAAAAGCCAGTCTATAAATGTGCCAAATTGCTTTTTTTACTGAAATACTGACATTTTTTTACTTTTATTTTTTTACTGAAATAACTAATTAATTAGCTAATGAACCTTAGATTGTTTCCTAGCTAAAACAAATTAGACTAAACCCCTACATACTCACATAAATGTCAGTGTTCAATAATGTTACACTCTTAAAAAAAAGGGTTCTTTGGGGTTCTATATAGAACCCTAGGGTTCTTTACTCAACTCCAAAGAACCCTTTATGCCAAAAAGGTTCTATATAAGGAGAAAGAACCCTTTTTGGCAAAAAAGGGTTCTTTGGGCTAAACCATGCTTCATGTATGTTTACACATTAGGCTATTTAAAATTATTATACTACATTGTATTTGTGTTTTTATTTCAATTTTACGTTGACACACCTTTATTCCGAAGAAATAAACTTAAAATTTACGTCTGCACTTTCAAGATTAATAGAAACTAATTGCCACGTGATCCTGTACACTGAAAAAATGCCTAACATCTAAATTAACTGGTTTTACTTAAGTCTACTATCACTGAATCAAACTATTAATTTATACCAACAAACTGATCAGGTAGAAATACATGTGTACTAGCAGTGTATAGCAATCTGGACAGTTTTATCTATTTATTAATAGGTACACGCTATAGTCTGCTATTTAATCAGCACAAAAACATGATTGCAAGTTAGTTATCATGCCATGTAACAGCTCTTTTATTGACGAGCAACATGCTCATATCGTACAGAGTTTCAGTGTTTCATTTAGATTCTAAAAGGCTATTCTTATAACTCATCCCTCCAAACAGATGCATAAAATTATCTTTGACATAAACGGCAAACAACTTGAACGTGTATTTATGCGCTGATCAGTTTTGTCCCGTCTGCACAGCGCCGCATTTCAGTCGCGTGCCTCTCGCGAGAGTGATCACTAATAAGCGCGCGATATGGAACCTTTTAGGGGTTCCATATATGAAGCGCCTGATAGAACCTTTTAAGGTTCTATATAGAACCTTTTCTTCTAAGAGTGTACACTACTGAAGTGAGACAAATTAACACTAATTAGTCCAGAAATAATGTTAAAATAATCATAGAGTTAATTCTTTGTCTTACATAATTAATCCATCAAAGAACCCAACGATGGTGCTTTTTGACAATTATATTACATAATTATAATATCTAATAATTTTTATATATATAGTTCTAATGGGTCTCTGAAGTGCAGTGCTATTTTAGTATTATTTACATAACATAATTTTGTTACATTTGTTGCTTTGTGTTTTAGTTTCAAAGCAACATTTCTAATTTTTGTTGAAGTTTTTCGTCTAATATTTATGTTTACATTTTATTTTATTTAAGCTTTATTTCAGTTAACAAAAATTTTTTTGTCTTATTTTTATTTAAGAATAGCAACACTGGTGAAGGCTATCAAGTGGTCCTCAAACCACAGTGGGAAAACACTGCTATAGAATGACTGCTAAATAGAGCTGTTGAATGCTTAGTTTAGCTTAATGACAAGTCAGACTTCATTCAAAAAACATAAAGGGATTGTATGATAATTTTACATTACTCACTGTATAATATTGTGGTTTTTGGACAAAAAACAGTTGTAATGTAGTTACCATTTTCCTCCCATCTTTACAGCTATTTGAGGCATCATTCACTACGTATTATTTTGTAATTACTTCAGCGTAAAAGAGAGAGAGATTTACATGTTTTTCTTAAAATTTAAATCAAATTCCATGAACAGACTAAAGATCACTTCATTTCAGTATGATAGGCATTCACACCGTTCTCTGTGTCCTGCTCATAACAGTCAGACGTGGAGCTGGATTCCTATCAGGGGCTGCTGGTTCTGAAGGAAGTGTCTCGGGCAGATAGCGGTGTGTATGAATGTCACTCTCTGGACTTGGATGCTGTGAACCATGATGAGGTGGTGGACACCCTACAGCTCACTGTGCACTGTGAGTTCAACTTTCAGCTTCTCATTTTTACACACAGATTTGGAAGCTAGAAAAAAAATGCACACCACTGTAATCTAATCATCTATCAGTATTGTTGCCAAATATGCTGACACCTAATAATGTTGAATAATTAACATTTACTCTACTATTCAAACGTTTGTGGTCAGCAAATTAATACTTTTATTCAGAAAGAGTGCATTAAAATGATCAAAAATGGCACTAAAGACATTTATAATATTACAAAATGTTCTATTTCTATTTCAAATGTATGCTGCTCTTTTGAACTTTCTATTCATCCATAAAATTACTGAAATAAAAAAATGTATTATGGTTTCCACAAAAATAATGGGCAGCACAACTTTTTTCAACATACTGATAATAATACAAAAATGCTTCTTGAGCAACAAATCAACATTAGAATGATTTCTGGAGAATCATGTGACACTGAAGACTGAATGACTGTTGAAACATATTTTAAATGACATTTTGAAATATATTAAAATATAAAACAATTATTTTAAATTGTAATAATGTTTCTCAGTATAACTGTTTTTACTGTATTTTTAATCAAATAAATGCAGCCTTGGTGAGCATAATAGACTTCTTTCAAAAACGATAAAAACATCTTACTGTGTGGTAGAGTATATTTATTAATTTAAGTAATTAAAGTAAGTAATATAAAAGTAATATAAGTAATTTAAATTAATAATTTAACATAAAGGAGCCAACATTATTAGCAGTAAGTTACACTCTTTATTGAAAAATGGTCACTAGCCTGCATTGTTCCACATTTGCTGTTTTGCAAAATACAGAAACTGTAATAAATTCCATCATTTTAATTCTAAAAATTTTAAGAATCTGAAAGAAAGAAAGATTCTGTTTTGCTTAAGCAATATGAAAGAAATACTTCAACCCAGAATAACAATTCTGTCATCATTTACTCACTGTCATTAAATGAAGCAGATATCATTTGAGTCAAGCTCACAGCGAGGCTTTTACTGGGAATTATTGACCTCATTGACCTTTATGTGTGTGCTCAGATCTGGACCCAGCTGTGGTGGTGCCCAAAGACTCGGAGGTCATGCTGAAAGGAGAGAGTCTGACAGCCACTTGCAATGCCCTGTCGTCGTTAGAGACCTCCACTGTGTGGTTTAAGGTAACACTGCAGTGTGATTCACGCATCCTTCGGCAGTCTAGTTTGGTCTTCCACATTCTGTTTAGAGCTTCTTCTCACCCCATCCGTTCTTTACTTAATTTGTTTGCACACGCTTGTTTGTGTAGGATGGGATTGAGGTCGGGAGAGGACACATAATGCAGCTGCAGGATGCCACGTTTGACACAGCTGGACAGTATGACTGTGAGGTGACTGTACCGTCTCTTCCAGGCCTGCTGACCAGCGGTTTTGTCCATATCATCGTACAGGGTGAGGAAGAGTGCATCGAGTGTTTCAAACTGCTGAAACTCAGCAAAAGAGCTTTAAAGGGGTCATATGATGCTGCTAAAAATAACATTATTTTGTATTTCCTCAGCGACCAGCACGGATCAGCTCCAGGCATGAAGAAGTGGATATCGTCCTCGTTTGGAAGGCCAAACAAAGTAGTTTCACTTTCACAACGAAACACACAGCTCCTTCACGATATGGCGGCGGGGGCAACAACAATACTACAGCGAGAATAAAAGTTACGCCTTCTTTCTTTGCGTGAACATCTGGGAGGCGTTATACAAATCTTCCCACATCGTGACGTAGACGTGGGGGCGTGTTAGAACGAGCCGTTTTAGGTAGGCGTGGTTGACTCTTAACTTTTATAAAGAATATCTCTTTGGATTTGAGACTTTAGTCTTTGCAACTTTACAGATCTTCTTTATGCACCAAGAGCTTGTAACACTCCAAGGAGAAAGAAAAAATTGAAATCACATCATATGACCCCTTTAACATCAGCATATATTTAGTTAAAATTGCTACTGGATCTATTCCTCCAGGCGCGCCTCAGATGAAGGATGCGGAGAGAGAGATTGAGCTGATGGAGAAAGTAGGGGGTTGGGTGAATTTGAGCTGTGAGGTGAGAGGTTACCCCAGACCCACCATCACCTGGAGCATCACCGGCAGTCAGGTAACACTGATTTCCTCTCAGCCCTCTGCTTATGTTACACTGAGCCATGGATTGACGCTTTTGTCTTGTTTGTGTGTGTGTGTGTGTGTGTGTGTTGTAGTCTCAGAGCTGGCGTGAGGTTGTTAAAAGAGAGATTGAGGATCAAGTCTACAGCATTGTGATGCTTAAAGTCACCACTGACACTGTTGCTGTCTGCAATTCAACAAACGACTTCGGAATAGAGACCAAGACTTACAGCATCAGGCGCAGTAAGAGTCGATTTCCCTTATTTACACGGCAGATCAGGACTTCCAGTTGATCATTAATAATAAATTGTATAATAGTAATGATTATTAATCACTATTATTAATCATGATCATAAATGTGACATTAAAATATAACTGACTAAATGTATTCTAATTATAAACATAATATTTATTTTAATATAAATGTAATATCTATACATAGATTACTATGTACAATTTTATACTTAGTGCTGTCAAAATTAGCGCGTTAGCACAGGCGATTAATTTTTTCAGTTTAACACGTTAAAAATGTTTAATGCAATTAACACAGGGGTGGAGCTAGTGTGGGCCAACCCACTCAACTGCTGCTGCTTCTGTCTCAAATGCAAAAAAAATGCGTTTATTTAGACGCAGAACGTCTTTATAACCGCATCAAACTGGAGACAGAGACGATACTGGCCTTCTGTCATAAAAAAAACATGCCATTAAACAAATATTTAAAATATACTGTCTTTATGTTGTTTGTACATTAATTTAAGGATTGAATGTGAAATTATTTCAATGAAAAAATATTTTAAAAATTGTAATATTAGGTGGAATTAATCATGATTAATCGTGATTAATTTCAGAAAAGATGTGCGATTACTTATTAAATTTTTTTAATCGATTGACAGCACTATTTTATACATTACTTATTTTATAGTAAAGTGTGAAATTGATAATATTTCATTTAATATTCATGTATGTATTTAATTTTTTATTAATTTTTACATTTGAATTTATTCTTCAAGTGTTTTGTCTGGTAATCAAAAATACATTAAAAACAGTAATATTGTGAAATATTGTTACAATTTAAAATAACTGTTTTCCATTTGAATGTTTTTTTCAAATGTCATTTATTCCTGTGATGGTAAAGCTGAATTTTCAGAATCATTACTCCGGTCTTCAGTGTCACATGATCCTTCAGAAATCATTCTATTATTATAAGTGTTAAAACCAGTTGTGCTGCTTAATATTTTTGTGAAAACGTACTGTTGTAATGTCTTTTTTTTTAAAGACATGTCTCATCATCAGATTTATAATATAATTTTAACCATGCAATTTATTTTGAACTTTTAAATTAATAGGATATGTTTGAATATTGGTTGTTTGGAATCAAAAATTATAATGTTGTCTGTTGTTTTCTCCCAGTTCCATTCTCCCAGACTCCAACAGCTAGAAAAACTTCAGGTAACATTTTTTTCCCTTTTCTGTCTCTCTATTTGTCTGTTAGAAAGGATTGTATGCTTTAAATCAACACCCAGTCCATTTCATCCCTGCAAAATCCAACCCTAACAAACAATGAAAGATCATCTAATGTACTTGAATAATTCATTGATTTGATATGGCAAAGCCTCCGCAGCAGCTAACCGCTTGGCTCTTCATGTCGGCCTCTGGGCATATTTAAAATTCTGTGTGAAGAAAAGTCATAGAGCAAAAAAAGCAAGCAAAAATTGAAGCAGACATTCATTCAGATAGCAGGGGCAGATCCAGCACAGAATGTTTTCCAAGATGAATGTATAATTAGTTCTATGCGAATATTTTAACAAATGTTTTGAAGTGCTGGGCAGCAACTGAGACTGTTAAACTATTATGGTGAAGATTGTGGTGGCGGCCTGCTGTTTTATTGAGTAGATTTAACTCATAAAATTCATTCCCAGACAATTGTTTGTCGTCTCTGTGTTTATTTATAGCATTTGATGACGCTTCCTCTGAATGGCGCACCTTAATTTTCTTTATTTGACTCTGAGGAATATGAGTCTCATTTCATTTTACTAAAACACTCTAATTATATGTTTCATACCAAACTCGTCTCATATACAAGGGCATGTGGCGTGCGTTTTGAATACAAATGTTGCTGCCTTTGTTAAAAAGTGCAGTGTAATGTGTCCTTTAGTGCTTTTTTGTGATTTAAGATGGTATTTCACTTTTGTATTTTGCCTGAAAGCATGTTAATTGCGTTTCAGCATGAATTAATTGTGTCTTGTTGAAATTCTAATAGTTAATTGGTTATTATACATCAGTCAGTCATACCAGTGTTGACATCTGTTGTTCTCTCTCTCCAGTTGATAATAGTGGAGTGATTATTGTGGTGATTATTGTCAGCATCCTGTTGCTGGCCATCCTGGGTAGTGTCTTCTACTTCCTGTATAAAAAGGGCAAGTTTCCCTGTGGACGATCAGGCAAGCAAGAAATGTATGTAATACCTTTTCCTTCTGTCCAGTTTATTAGTAAACATTAGTACAGGGTTTTCAAAGTGGGGTTAGGGGACCCTCGGGGGCTGCAAGGAAGTGCTGGGAAATCTGTAAACAAGATTAGAGAAAAACTACGGTGGCCGTGAAGTGCAAAACAAATCATAATTCTGAAAACAAAATAACAAATTACAAACGCAAATGCAAGTCTAAAAAACAAAATAACAATTCAGAAAACACAACAACAATTCAGAAAACATTATAACAAGTCAGAAAACACAATGACAAATTCGAAAACAAAATAACAAGTCAGAAAACACAACGACAAATCCGAAAACAAATTAACAAGTCAGAAAACACAACGACAAATCCAAAAACAAATTAACAAGTCAGAAAACACAACGACAAATCAGACAAACCGGAATAATTGTGAACTAATTCAATCATGAGCTTGTCAGCATCACTTCTTAATTATTAACATTTTTAAGTGAATTTTCATTTTTATTATTATTCTATGTTTAAGTTTGAACATCCATCCTTTGGTAAGAGTAGTAGTCACAATTTTAAAATGTAGCCGACTTATTTGGGGGATATCAAATTCATAAATTCGTTTCCACAAAGAACCCAATTGTTCACTTTTAAGACGTTACTGTTGTGATTAGTAATTCATTGGTTATTCTTTATTAATTGGTCATAGTTCACAAGTAGTTCTCAATGAGGATATTTTTATTTAATAATTATCAAATATCTAATAAGGAACTAGCTTTGTCCTAAATTTGCTACTACTTACTGCTTAGTTAATCTTGCTTCTCTATTAGTTAATAGTATTAAGTTAAGTGTTAATGTAGTATTACCTATTACTTCCTGCATAGTTACTTGTTAACAACGGGCCATTATTCTAAAGTGTTACTGTGTATGGGTGTGTTAATCTCTACAGCATTAATGCCTACAGCACCAAGGAGAAGACTAACAAAGATGACATCGTCGTAGAGATGAAGGCAAAAAAGACAGAGGAGTCTGTGCTACTGAAGGGCGTCAATGGGGAACAGAAACCTACCAATGACCAGGTAACCATATATACTTAACTCTTGTTCAAAGAACATAGCATTTATCATGATGAGATGACCACGAGGAGCCTCTCTATAACTTTATTATGTGGCGATTTTTCCTGGAATAAAGAACAGCACCCTTAACTCATAAGCGGAGACTTGTGGGCGACTAAAGATGGCGTCTGTACCTCCCTGCTGACCCAACAATCAAGTCTTAAGAGCTGGAGGACCTCTTGTGGAGCAGCCACCTCCTCTGGATAAAGTGGACTGTACTTTTGTATCTCGTGTGTGAGCAGCAGTATTCATGCTTGGATAAATGGGACGTAAGCGATAAAGGAAGATTGTTCTCTGTTCTTCATTGTTTTTCTTCAACCATCGACCAATTTCAAGACCACGAGTTTCATCCTTTAAACACAAGCAAAATGAATTACTGAGTAAAAACATTCTTACACTCTGTCAGCACCACATTGCATCCCAAACCAATAGAATGTTGCAGGGATGATATATTTTTGTAGGCCAAAATCTGGAAATGAGTTTCCGGTTCCATCATTCTTTTGGTTGATTGTCTGAAACAAGGTCTGTGGTTAATGCAAGCTGAGGGTATTCTATGACATCAAATACGGTAATCCAAAAGTCATTGGAAAAATCCTGTTGCGTTTTTGTCAATGAAACCAGGGTGATGCTTACTTCCGGGTCGGCCTACAAAAATATATCATCTCAAGCTGTTGCAGCAGGCGTGATGTTGCACGAATTAAAGGATTAGTTCACTTCCAGAATAAACATTTCCTGATAATATACTCACCCCCATGTCATCCAAGATGCTCATGACTTTCTTACTTCAGTCGAAAAGAAATTAAGGTTTTTGAGGAAAACATTCTAGGATTTTTAGTGGACTTGAAGGGGAGCCAATGGGTTGAAGGTCCAAATTGCAGTTTCAAAGGGCTCTACACGATCCCAGCCGGGGAATAAGGGTCTTATCTAGCGAAACGATCAGTCATTTTCTGAAAAAAAATAAATAAATACAAATGTATATACTTTTTAACCACAAATGCTCTGCGATTGGAAAGGTCACGCGTGGTTAGTTCTTGGTCTGTGTACTTCGGTTCAAAAAGGTAGGGCAGGGCGAAAAACTCCATCTCATTTTCTCCAACTTTAAAATCGTTGTTGTTTTACCTTTTTTTTTGTAAAGGGGGTTTAACTTTCTTTGCATGCTTGCTTTGTAAACACTGAGTCGGTACTTCTATGCCTATCACACATGACCTTTCCTACGTGACTATGTATCTGCGTGAAGTCGAGCTAGTGCTAGATGAGCATTTGTGGTTAAAAAGTATATACGTTTTTTTTGTTTGTTTGTTTGTTTTTTTGAAAATGACCGATCGTTTCGCTAGACAAGACCCTTATTCCACGGCAGGGATCGTGTAGAGCCCTTTGAAGCTGCATTGAAACTGCAAATTGGACCTTCAACCTGTTGGCCACCATTGAAGTCCACTATACGGAGAAAAATCCTGGAATGTTTTCCTCAAAAACTTTCGAATGAAGAAAGAAAGAAATCTTGGATGACACGGGGTGAATAAATTATCAGGAAATGTTTAGTCTGGAAGTGAACTAATCCTTTAATGCACTGATTTAAATGTGACCATTATGTAAAAATGGTTTTACTAATTAATTCATTCTGCTTGTTTCTCAAATGAGGCTCAATGTCCTTTTTAGACCACAAAAATGTATATATTATAAATATGTTTAGCGATTGATCCTACTTGTGACCTTATTTGTTCCAGTTGTGCTTTTCTACGCTCTGTTCAGAAAATATTTTAGTTTTTCGGTCCTTGCATAATGCTGCAGAAAGCTTGGATTTTTTTGATTTTTTTATTCTACGAACAAAAAAAGTTGATTTTGTTTAAATGTACAGAACAGTTAGTCATCTCCTGATTTTCCAGTAAATCCCAATGGACCAAATAATAAATGTAAGTTCCGTTTCAAAGGCAGTTAATTAAAAACCCCACATTAAGACACTAAGAATAACAAATGTGAAGGCTTCATAAACACACAGCCCTTCACGATATTACGGAACCCCATCCAACTTAGCTAAACGGATAAACATGAGTAATACTGAGCTGACACTTAATAGTGTGTGTACGGTCCAACTCAAACTACTGCAGAGCTCATGTACTGTTTGTAAATAGTCGTAGGGAAGGAAATTGTAGCTCTTTGTGTTTTGACTGCTGAGGGGAATTGCAGCTCCCTCTGTTTCTGCCTCAACTGCAGTGCCTGCGGAAATGTGTCTTCATTTCACATCAATGTTAGTTACACTGAAACCTTTGTGTTGTGTTGTCTTGTTTGTTTTGCGCATGTCTTTGTATTTGGTGAAGGGAAAGTTTTGTTGTTTTCATAAATGCCATGAATAATAATACTTTTTATAAAGAGAAGCAGTACAATTAAAAACTTAAGGGTCCTTTACATTTTTCAATTTTGTTACTTTAAGCTCATTTTTGAGACCTGTCATTCATGCGATTTGTTCTAGTGTGCAGAGTTTTCTTGTTTCTTGTTGTTGAATGTGGCTTTGGCTTTTACTTTTGTACATTAAAGACATGACACACATGTTATCTACATCAGTGCTTGAGGACGCTGGACTCGAATAACTTCAGGACTATTGTTACCACACTAAACCACGCTTGGACAATTCATATTTGATTCTAGCTGTGATCATGCATTCTTTTAGCCTTAAGTTGTGTTATGCTTAAATTCCATTGAAAAATCTAAAAAAGTAAGCTGATTTTGTCCATTCTTGTGTTCAGCTTTTCCTCTACAAGTCATGTTCACTTCACAGCCTTTGCGTATATCGACGTATAACAGAAACACATGCACCTTTTTTGTAAACTTCCATTGTCTAAATATTAGTGTGAGCCATTTGAGACTGTCAGAACACTGTCGAACCACTGCATACTACACTGGCACCTTTTCCCTGCCTGTCCTCGTGAGCAAATTATGTTGTAATAGCGCAAACTATCATTCTCATTGTAGATTGTTGGCAAACACAGTTATGCAATGTTTTATGTTTGATTTCACCTATGGTTGTAAATTAAGTACTTGTGGTATGCGTTTGATGCTTGCATTTTTTTATATCATTTTTGGCCAAAAAATAAAGATATGTTACATTCAGTGTTTGTCTCCACTTCTTGGAAAGCTTCACTATTGTTACATAATTTTCAGTGCAGGTCCTTCACGATATTACGGAACCCCATCCAACTTAGCTAAACGGATAAACATGAGTAATACTGAGCTGACACTTAATAGTGTGTGTACGGTCCAACTCAAACTACTGCAGAGCTCATGTACTGTTTGTAAATAGTCGTAGGGAAGGAAATTGTAGCTCTTTGTGTTTTGACTGCTGAGGGGAATTGCAGCTCCCTCTGTTTCTGCCTCAACTGCAGTGCCTGCGGAAATGTGTCTTCATTTCACATCAATGTTAGTTACACTGAAACCTTTGTGTTGTGTTGTCTTGTTTGTTTTGCGCATGTCTTTGTATTTGGTGAAAGGAAAGTTTTGTTGTTTTCATAAATGCCATGAATAATAATACTTTTTAGAAAGAGAAGCAGTACGTTTTAGCCTAAAAACCTATGGCTCCTTTGTTTGCTCTCAGTTTTTCAGTTACTTTTTCAGATTTTGAAAAGCTCGTTTTTGAGGCCTGTCATTCGTTCAGTAATGGGATTTGTTCTAATGTACAGACTTGTTTCATGTTCTTGAATGTGGCTTTGGCTTTTACTTTTGTACATTAAAGACATGACACACATGTTATCTACATCAGTGCTTGAGGACGCTGGACTCGAATAACTTCAGGACTATTGTTACCACACTAAACCACGCTTGGACAATTCATATTTGATTCTAGCTGTGATCATGCATTCTTTTAGCCTTAAGTTGTGTTATGCTTAAATTCCATTGAAAAATCTAAAAAAGTAAGCTGATTTTGTCCATTCTTGTGTTCAGCTTTTCCTCTACAAGTCATGTTCACTTCACAGCCTTTGCGTATATCGACGTATAACAGAAACACATGCACCTTTTTTGTAAACTTCCATTGTCTAAATATTAGTGTGAGCCATTTGAGACTGTCAGAACACTGTCGAACCACTGCATACTACACTGGCACCTTTTCCCTGCCTGTCCTCGTGAGCAAATTATGTTGTAATAGCGCAAACTATCATTCTCATTGTAGATTGTTGGCAAACACAGTTATGCAATGTTTTATGTTTGATTTCACCTATGGTTGTAAATTAAGTACTTGTGGTATGCGTTTGATGCTTGCATTTTTTTATATCATTTTTGGCCAAAAAATAAAGATATGTTACATTCAGTGTTTGTCTCAAATTCTTGGAAAGCTTCACTTTTGTTTCATTCTCAATGCAGGTCTTTCCTCCAGGTGTCCAGTTGTGTTTCCTCTGGCAGATCTGAATCCAGAAGAGTGTTTTTACAGAGGCTCTGTCTGCTGAGGGGAAGCATCCGGCTGCACTGACGACAGTATCTGCTGATACAAGCTAGTTTTGTTTAAATCAAGGTTTCCATGATAGCCTATCTGTTACTGAGATGACTACTTGCAAAGGGTACATTTACATTTGTCATTCAGTCTCACTGAAGGTATTGCTCTTAATTACTGTGTTATTCGGAATTTAATTATGTAGTGCTGAATATAAAAGATGTAGCCTATACCAGACAATGAAATGAGAAAACTTTTGAGTCACTCTTGTTTATAACAGTAATCAGAAATGTCTGAAAGACATGACCAAAGTCATGAAATATATTTAATTCAACCTAATTTAGTTTTCAGACTCACTCTTTACTCCGTTCCCTTTCATGGGAACTTCGAACTGTGTCCTCTAGGGGTCGCTATGGGGAACGCCTCGTCGTGACCCGTGTCTGAAGCATACATTGAAAAAACACCAACTCGTTGGGACCACACAAGTATCTGGTGCGCCAGCTTGTACAAGGGTGCGAACGCAGAACTCCCTGGTGGTTGATGTAAGAGACCACCGCTGTGTTGTCGGTGCGCACCAACACATGGTGACCTCTTAGGTCTGGGAGAACTCGAAACATGGCCAGCATCTCCAGACAATTGAATGCCACGTCAGATGGCGACCACTCCACAGACCGCGGGCAGGGTGGCCACTCATGACCGCACCTCAACCGGTGAGGGATGCATCCGTCGCTAGCATACGCGGCGACAAGGAGCTCCCAGCACCGGGCCCTGAGACAAGAACCAAGGTTTCCTCCACATGTCTAAGGCACGTAGGCACCTCCGCGTGACCTTGAGCATGCGAAGCGGGTTTCCCCTCGGGGAGAACCCCTTGTTCTTGTGCCACCACTGTAGGGGTCTCATGTACAGCAGGCCAAGAGTTATCATGTTGGATGCAGCTGTCATCAGCCCAAGCAGTCTGGAACTGCTTGACAGTGAGTGACCGGCCTTCTCTTACTCTCGCGACTGAGGTGAGGATCAACTCGATCCGAGCAGGAGACATACATGCCTGCATCGTGGTCGAATCACACACCACGCCCAGATAAGTGGTTCTCTGTACTGGAGAAAGCACACTTTTCTTGGCGTTAAGTCTTAACCCCAGCTCTTTCGTGTGAGCGAGAATGACATCTCGATGTCGA